GTGTACGAGAAGGCCGAAGACTGTTTGCCCTCTAACAAATGTGCTGGAGAGATTGCTGCGCTGACTAATATACCTTCAATCAGACAATGTAAGCCCACCTCCTACATCAGCGGCCGCCACAAAATAGATACTCAACCCGTATTTGTTGAATAAGTGGCCTTCCTACTTCCTTCCCTACGTGCCCTCCAAGTTCCAAGTACCCTTTATGAGTTCCTTCCTAATGCTGCCATTGGAGAAGATCCCTTGCACTCTATTTTAACTGCATTGTTGGTGCCAGGGAAAGCAATGCGTTATCTGCCAAGGCTTAGGCAGTGTAGTGCTACTTTAGAGATGCCTGTACAAAGCCAAGCTCAGAAGAGACCTACTTATTATTATATCTCATAATCACTGTAAATGTGCATAAAAACTATACATGTGCAATATTCCCTTTATAGTTACAAAGGCTATTTACTTTCAAAGTCAGCCGAGATCTCATTTCGTAAATCTGATTTAATTTGTGGAAAAGGAGTGTGTTCTGAGGGTGGAAAAAAGAATTGAACTATACTTTAATATGAATGGGAATGTTGATACGATATTGAGCTGTTTCCCCTGTGGCTCACTTTGTACCAGGCACAGACAGTACCGTACACACTTGCATTAGAAAGTTTATTTATCTCCCAGGACTGAAAGACAGCACCCAAGTTTACACTGTCCCAGGAGCTTGGCAAAGGGCAGTTTATAGCATTCTTTTATGAGATAAAATTATAGGGAACGGAGGATTTCCTCGATCTTGTATGAAATATGTAATTATCTAGTAGTTACTTGAAATTCCTCAAGTAGACCTTTATGTATTTAGCACCAAACCACTAAAACCAAGCTCACTGTCATCAAGTTAATTCTGACTGACAGCAACCCTATCAGACAGAGTAGAACTGCCCCCAGGGGTTTCAATGGCTGTAAACCTTTACAGGAGCAGAATGCTTCATCTCTCTGGTGGGTTTGAACTGCTGGCCCTGCAATTAGCACCCCAACTGGTAACCCACTAGGCACCAGGGCTCAGGGATGGAAAATTGTCTCAGCTAGTATGCCAGGGGAATCATTGGCAATTACTGGAAATCCATAATGAAAAAATGTTTTGAAGTTATATTTGGATTCAAGTAAGTGTTGTAATCAGTTAGCAATGTGAGTTATGAGTTTTGGAATGAGGATTGATGGTATGTCACATATTTAATGTCTTTACTTCATTTTATCCTGGTTAAGATCTAAGTAATTATATTCAAAATAGTATATGGTCTTCACATAATTTCTGTGAAGAAAGAACTGTCAGAAAATTTTTTCGGCAAAGGAAATAAAAATACAAATTAAGTTGCCAACTATTGGTAGAATATATATTTTAACACATGTCTCACTGCAGAGTCCAAGCTTGTAACTATCGTATTATTTCCTAAAAATTCTGCAGTGCTGACATTAGAAGTGTTCATTCATCTGTAGCTTAGAGCGAATGGGCTTTTCTCTACCGTCCTAGTAAGAGAAGAAAACATGAGGGTTGAGAAGGCTGTCAGGACTAACTCAGCTATGAACTTCAGAGCACCGTTTAACACGGCTTTTTAATTTCAATATTAAAAGCATGACTTAGCATATGACTATTATACTTCCATATGAATATATTTCTGTAATTCACGGTTGAAATGGTGTAATTGATTGTGTCCAGGTAAAACAGTAAGGAGCCCAGCTCGCACAAGGTCAGCAGTTCAAGCCCACCAGTCACTCCATGGGAGAAAGATAAGGTTTTCTGGTCCTGTGAAGATTTACAGTCCAGAAACCCACAGGCAGTTCTACTCTGTCTTATACAGTCCTATGAGTCAGAATCAACTTGATGGCTGTGAGTTTTTATGGAAAATAATTTGGATTTTACCCAAAGACAGAGAAAAACACAAAATAAAAATATATTCAAGTATTTTCAGTCAGGAAGGAATGCAAAACATCTAGACCATCAATACCTTAACATCCAAGCTGAATAAAGGTAATCTTCTCGGTGAGGTGTTTTGGTGTTTGTTGTTTTCACCAATGAAGCTTTTTATTTCAAAAATAATTAAAAACAAAAAAACTAACTGTCACCAAGTCTCTGACTCACCAAGTCTCTGACTCACCAAGTCGTCTGACCCATAACAACCCAATAGGACCAGGTGGAGTTGTCCTTGTGCGTTTCCAAGGCTGGAACCCTTCACAGGAGTAGAAACCCTCATTTCCACTCAGGGGGCAGCTGTAGTTTCAAAACGTGAGCCTTGCCGTCAGCAGCCCAAGGCAGAACCCCTATACCATCCGGGCTCCTTTCTCAAAGTAAAGATGCTAATTACTTTGCCTGAGGAAATTTTAAAGGTAAATAACTATATTTTGTTTCTCTTAAACACCGAATGATGTTCTTTTAAAGAGATCATCTCTATACTTCTGTACTTATACTACTATGACTTTCTTCAAGCATGTACTTCTGCACCTCACTGCTCAAATGCTGTCATTTCTAGTGTTCAGGTAAAAGAGATGGCCTTTCAGCTGGTGTGAGAAATGTGAGTGCATGCTTTGATTTCCTGTCCTTTGTCTTCTACAGGAAAAGCTGTCATTGCTCAGCCAACATTTGTTTTTGACAATAGAGAACACGCTTCTAAGGTAAGATCCCCATGATATTCCTGTTTGTTTGCTTCTGCTTGAACAAAGAAGATTGTATTTGAAGAAGTTGACTATGTTACAGGATAGCCTCTCCTGCCTATGTTTAGCTTCTTGTTCATCACTTAGGAGCGTGGTGCTCCAGAATATTTATATAGTACGGACCCAGAACCATTGGCCTGAACTGAGAAGTCAGAGCCTTGTCTGGAAGCTATAGAGAGCATATCATTTTTCACTAAAGGTATATATTTACTTGGGGTGACTTGGAAAGAGGAGAAGCCCTGGTAGCACAGTGGTTGAGCATTGGGTTGGTAACTAATGGTTTGTTGGTTTGAAGTCACCAGATGCTCCAAGGGGCAGGGAGAAAATCTTCCCAAGCCCACGAAGCAGTCCACGAGAGTCACGAGTTGGCGTGGACTTTACGGCAGTGGTCTCATCTGGACTTAGAGTTTGGGATGGAAAATCCTGAGAGAGACCTATATTAAATCCTGGCTTGTAACATCAGCCTAACGGGGTGTAAAGTAAGCGTTCCCAATTGAACTGCTTATAGATTTTAAAGGGATCTTAAGGATTTAAAAAGATACACTAAGATGAATAGCATTCTCACTTTACTTTAACTATTATCTTCTTGTTAACCATTCTTACCTATACAAGTCATTCACTCTAAACATCAAATTAAATCCATGTCCTTGAATAGATTCTGACCCAAGGCAACGTTAGGGTTTCTGTGACTATAAATCTTTGTGGGATCAGTCTCATCTTTCTCCCACAGAGCGAGAAGTGGGTTCGAACCACCAGCCTTGTGGTTAGCAGCCAAATGCCTAACCTGTGACATCACCAGGGCTCCCATAAAGCAGACCAATTAATAAAACAAAAACTCAACTTTCAAACCTTAATTTTGAGTCTCAACCAGAAAACCACACCTACTACCATCGAGTTAATCCCGACTCATAGCAACCCTTTCAATTTCTCTTGGGGGGCGGTGGGGGTGGGGGTAAGTTGTCAATCTTTATAGTGTTAAGGAGAGGAGGCTCGAAAGTGTCCAGCGTCTCCACTCCTCAGTTCTTGTCCCACTTGCCAGAAAGATTTCAGGCAAGGGACAAACTTCAGACCAGAGTCAAAGAAAAGGTTGGAACGGAAAGAGTAAGTTGTTCACTGAAGGAGATACTTTGGAAAAGAGGTCCAAAGGGTCCTTAGCTAATCTAAAAGGCCTGGCAAAATGCAAAGCCGGACCTTCTAGTCAGCTAATGGCAGACCTGCCACCATAGGCCGGCTTTCTGGAGGCTCTTCTGCTATTGGCTGGTCTTCTGTAGGGTACCTCCTCTTCCAGGACTGTGCTGGAAGCTCCCCAAACTTCATGTGGTGCTCTAGTCTCAGACCCCAAATCAAAGTCTATTCAGTCATTGTGGGGGATAGTGTGAATATTCCATTTTGCTCCACCCAGCCTTCACTACCTCTAGTCTTTTCTGCTGATAAAGAAATGTGTCTTATCTGCCCTTCACCTTCCTTGGTGCTGGAGAGGTGTGTGTGTGGGGGGGGTTGGAGGGGGGGAAGGGGCGCGTCTCCCCTCCTTTGTGTTACCATTTCTGCCCTGTCACCTCCTCTTCTCTCCTTGCCATCCTCTGTCTACCTAATAGAAATGGAAAGTCTTATCTTTCTCCCTTACAGTGGCTGGTGGTAGGTTCAAACTGCTAACCTTGTGGTGAGCAGTTCCATACATAACCAACTATGCCACTGGGACTTCTTTTTAATCTCCGAACCAAAACCAAACTCACTGACATCCAGGCAATGGCAACTTCAAAGCCACCCAATAGGACAGGGTAGGACTGCCCTTGTGGGTTTCCGAGACTAACTTTCACTGGAGTAGAAAGCCCCTTCTTTCTCCCACCTGAGTGGCTGGTGATCTGGTACTGCCAACCATGCTGATCTCAGGCAAACAGGTAAGCCAGTATGTTACCAGAGCTCCTTGATAAAAAAGATTCCTGCACCCCACCCAGAACCCCCCACTTCAGCAGCCTGAAAGCCCTTCCCTCAAAATCTGCATTTGAAGCAAGCTCTCACAAGTCTTTCTCTAATCTCGGAAATATAATACTGCTATCCACTCCCTTGCGGAGACCCACAGGCGGTTCTATTCTACCCTGTCCTCTGGAGTCGCTATGAGTCGGATTCCACTCAATGGCAATGAGCATTATTTTTGGTTTGGGAGTAGTCCTGGTGATGTTATGGGTTACAAGTTGTGCAACCAACCACAAAGTCAGTAGTTTGAATCCACCAGCAGCTCTGAGAGACAAAGATGAGGCTCTTCGTTTCTGTAAAGATAAACAGTTTCAGCAACCCAGAGGAGCCATTCCACTCCATCTTTCGAATCACTGTCAATCAGAATCCACTCAATTTGATTTAGTATACTTAAGGGGGGCTTGTGGTGCTGTGGGTCAGGCACTCAACTGCTAACTGCTCAGTCAGTGGTTCAAACCCACCAGCTGCTCCACAGGAGAGCAATGAAGCTGCCTGCTCTCCTAAAGAGTTGTAGTCTAAGAATAAATATATATGAGAATATAGAGTTGCTATGAGTTGCAATCAACCTTGGCTTTTTCTTGAATCACCTGCCTAATTAAATAAAGAAAGACGAACTGCTTTGTTTTGCTGGGCTGAATAGACCTGGCTTCTGAGAATTCTGTTACAAAGCAACAAGAAGGCATTGGATGTAAAAACAGCTGTCAGTTCTGACCCGTAGTCTTATTTCCTTTCAGAGACCCGCAGAAGACACCCTGTGTGGGGCTGCAGGACATGGTAATGCCTTACATCCTGTATTTCAAAATCATTCTTTATACAAAGAAAATAAGCTAGCATAAGCATGTTGATACGTGCATATGGAATCTGTAAAAACAACACGTACTGGTTTCCCTTTTCATTAACTATGCAAGTAAGCCCACTTTCATTTTGGAAGCTGCAATGCAGATACCAGAGAAGACTGATACTGGCAACTAGAATCCCTTGCGTCCAGTACTGCCTGTCCCCCAATGAAAATCTTCTCCTTAGAACCTCAGAATTAAGATCCAATTTCTTGCTGAAGCCCCGCTCTTTTTGTTTCATAATAGTAGGATATGCCTATTGGTTAAGAAACTCTAGCTTCCTAAACTGAGAAAAAAAATCTTTTTGAAAAAGCCATCCACTTTCAGCACTAGATAACTAATAATGAGCAGCAATTTCCAAAGTCAACACAAGTTGCAGACAGAGGGAGGGAGGTCCCAATCCAGACGCAAAGGTGTTCGGTCATATTGACCTGTGGATAAAGCCAGGGGGTAACTGGATAACTGCTTCAATTTCTTTTTAATGTTAAAGATGCAGACCAAAAAATGAAAGAGAAGAACAGATAGGGGCCTCTGATATCAGTAAACACTATTCCAGTGAATATTGTGCAGAATATTGGTGGTGGTGTTAAGTAAAAAATAATACAGCTTGGCATGATCCACTCCTTGTTAGCATGAGAAAGATAAAGCCCACTTGGTAGAGAAGTAATTATGCCTCAACATTTATAAGCACACTGTACGTGAAAGAAGGGAGCCCTGTTGACATAGTGGTTGCACATTGGGCTGCAATCCCCAGGTCAGCAGTTCAAAACCACCATCTGCCCTGCAGGAGAAAGAGTGTTCTACTCCGGTAAAGAGGTGACAGAAATGCACAGAGGCAGTTCTACCGTGAACTGTAGGGTCACTAGGAGGCAGCATCGACTTGATGGCTGTGAGGGTTTGGGATTTTGTTTTTCAATATTTGGGAGAAGCCATTCTTAGTCTTCTCACATTTATACTAACTAAATGCCCAAGGTATGTTACTTTTGCAATGTGTAATCAAGAGGCAATCCCTTTGAACCGGAGAGAAATTCGGTACTTCCAGCCACCACTAGTCATAGCCTCCCCACCCACATCATAGAACAAGAAGCTCACATAAAACCACCTTCAGATAGATGCTTTCTGGTACCTATTTATGTTAACCGTTTTGTAGCCGCCTCGGTGGTGTAGTGGGTTTCGAAATGGACTGCTAGCAGGAAAGTCAGCAGTTTGAGCCCACCAGCCGCTCCGTGGAAAAGAGATGAGGTGTCCTACTCCTGTCCGGAATTAGTCTTGGAAACCCCCGGGGCACTTCTTCTCTGTGCTAGAGTCACTTGCAAACCCACGGGGGCACTTCTGTCCTACCGTCACCGAGTCTGAAACAGCTCGATGGCAATGAGTTTGATTTTGGAGTTTCTTCTAAATAGGGCTCAGTATCCATTCGGATTTATAATCTGTAGAATTTCTTTCAGTACGTTATCGCTATTCTAAAGCAGACGGACTTTTCTGCCAGTGACCTAATTTTACAACTATTTCGGAGAGTAAACACACCTGTGTAGCAAAACTCACCATCATCAGCCTTGTTGGGGAGCCCTGGCTCCAGGGCGCACTCTTAGTTCCAACAGCGACACCTGCTGCTGAGTTCGGAGCACGCAGTGCTCATGTGAAACCGCAGGACCTGCGGGCACTCACGCTCCTGTGCTGAAAGTTTAAATCCATTTTCTCACAGTGGCAAAAAGTGGTGTGCTTCTATCATCCACTCTCGGGCAAAAGAGTGTTGATATGAACAGGTCAGAGCAAGGTGTGTATCTTCTTTCTATCAGGATAATTTAAATCATTTCCTGCTTTACTATCCATAGTTTAACCTGTGTGGTGAGGGTGTGGGGGGCAGGCAGTGACAAATATTGTCATCCTGGTCCCATGGTCAAAATGAGTAGGTAGTGGGTAACAGCTAAGTAGAGGGTGAGGGGTGAGCAATTCATGGACGATTTCGGCTTTGATTCTTATATCAACCCCAGCCCCACCCCCCACATTCAATCATGCCTTCAGAAAACCAGCATGATATGAGGCAAACGCGGAGAGGAAGAAGTATTTCACTGAGAGTATCTTGTCCATCTCACGCTGCTCTTTTGAGGTCCTGTGAAGCATTCCGAACATCTTCTGAGACCTGCTGTTTTGCCGCCACCTCAAGTGCAGGGGTGCAAGAGAGTCAGAAGAACACCGGGCCACGAGGCCGTGGAATCCTGCAAGACTAACAAAACAGCAGACCATAAGGAAGGACAACCCTCTCTGGTAGGAGGGACTCGAATCCCATCACCCCCTTTTCCTGCATTGCGAGGCTCACATCCTAGCATTCTCCGCCGGGAGGAGAGGGGACCCAGCCGCAGGGGAAACTGGGAGCCAATGACGGGAATGCATCCCCAGCTGGTCAAGTCCACACCCAGCGTAGCTTTGCCAGCTTAGGTCACACCGGAATGAGCTCCGTATCCATCCGGCCTCGTGGATAATGGGTCAGGTGACTTCACCTGGGAAGTTGAATTATCGATGGTGCGGGTCTTTCTAAGGAGACTTTCATTTTACTTAGTTTACTTAGTTACTCACCAATAACAATACCCACTGCCATCAAGTGGATTCTGATCCATAACCACCCTATACAGGGTTTCAGAGGCTACAATCATTATGGGAGTGTCCACTTTCTCCCATAGAATGGCTTTGGGTTTGAACTGATGACCTTGCTAACCCGGCAACACCACCAGCTATGCAGGGTTAGGGACACTGTACAGTCTTAGCCGCGGCTTCCAGCACAGACACTTTGGAGAAGTGGAACACGGAGGGGCAGGTTTGAAGTTGAGAGTCATTTGCTTCCAGCTAAACTATTTAGAGTTGCTCACATAGCTCTGCTGCTTTTGTTCCTAATAAATATAAGGACAAAGGCACATGAAAGCGTAAGAAATTCACGTCAGTGGAAAAAAATCAGATTAGTATGAATCATACGTTTAACACTACCTATGTTTGTGTCCTTGGACAAGACACTCACTCTCCCTCTTTTTTTCTGTGAAGGAATGGAGAGCTAGGGCCACATCTGTTCATGTTTTATATTCCCAAATCTCTGTAAGATGTTTCATGAAAACCATCACTAAGTTTAAAACTCGTTCTGTCTGATGCATGTTTCAAAACTAAGCATACGAGTGCCATAGCTCCTTCCTGGGAGGTGGACGGTCGACTCCTTCTTCGTTGTCTATAGCTCTTACACACTGGCCATGCTGCCACGAGAGGCCAGTCCCTGGAGAAAGACACGATGCTTGGTAAAGTACAGGGGCAACAAAAAAGGAAGAAGGCCTCACGACATGAATTGCCACAGTGGCTGAAACAATAGGAGCAATATTGAGGATGGTGCAGGACAGGGCAGTGTTTTGTTACATTGTCCATAGCTTCGCTATGGGTCCGAACTGACTGGTTGGCACTAACAGCATAACAACACATGACACATGATAAGTGGCTTTGTAACTTCAAATAAGAATATTATGAAAGGTTTACATTTAAATATAATCAAATAATCATCTCATATTATAGAAAGATAAATTATTATATTTATTCATTTAAGACGTTATAATTTGTTGTTTAATTTATTTTAATATGATATGTTGACTAGTTTCTAAAATGTTACAACATTGCACTTGTTTTGGAACCTCATAAAATGTTGATTAAAAAGTTTAACTACATGCTATGACATCAAAAATAGATCACTATTTATTCATTGGTCTTATATTTGCCAATCTTGCATTGCATATATTCAAAATCAAATGCATTAACTATGTCTTGCATTTTATTCCTAAGAGAGAAATTTGCAAGCTATTGTTTGCAAGCCTTTTGTCTTGAACGGCTTATTAACGGTGTGAATAGTCCTGATTCTCAATTAATGAAATGTCTGTCATTAGATTTTCATAATGTAATGATGACCTTTCAAGATCCAGATGCATACTATGTGTAAGACGCTCTGACAGAATTCAGGAGCCCTCCTGGTACAATGGTTATGTGCTGGGTGGCCAACCACAAAGTCAACAGTTTTGAACTACCCATTGAAGGAAAAAGACGAGGCTTTCAACTCCTGTAAGGATTTACAGGCTCAGGAGCCCACAGGGGCAGTTCTACTTTGGCCTGGGGACGCTATGAGTCAGAATCCACTCACTGGCACGGAGTTTGCGTTTCAGTTTGAGGGTTTCTTGTTCGTTTTTTTTAAACAGCTCTATTGACATATAATTCACATACCATATAACTCAGTGGTTTCAATATATGAAAAAGAGTGTGCAATCATCACCACTATCCATTTTGGAAAGTTTTCTTCATTTTTGTACCCATTATCATTAGCTCCTCTTTTTCCCCTAACCTTTTGAGTTTTAATTTTTTATGCCGGAATTTTGACAAAATAAGTGCAATTTATCTATCTGTCAAAATTATTCCTAGTCAGGTTTTGTAGAACCATTTAATAAAAATTGTGTGTTTTTTATTAACTCCTTATCAAAAATAGGTTAAATTTTACTCATCTTATCAATAATCAATGGTCAGTTACAGCGTATAACTTAAAAAACAAGTGCCCAATAAAAAGTTTAAGCCATGTGAGAGCAAGGACTTCCATCCTGGCTGAGACACAGCTGTCTTAGGACCGGAGTCATGGAAATGTACTTTGATGTATGCTAGCCATGACACATGTCTTGATAGGTGTGTTTCTAAATATGCAATTTAGTGACATTAATTGCATTCCTCATGTTATACTGCCATCACTACTATCCATTTCTAAAAGTCTTGCAACACACCGAGTAACAATTTGATACCTCTTCAGCAATAACTTCCATTTCCCCTACCCCCATATGTATTGGTATCTGCTAATCTTTTGTCTCGGTGGATTTACCAATTCTAGGTACTTCATATAGGTGGAATCATACAATATCTGGCTTTTTGTGGCTGGCTCATCTCAAGTGGTATAATGTTTTCAAGGCTCATCCATGTGATGGCATGGGTGATATCAGAACTCCAACTCTATGTCTGAATAGTATTCCATTTTGTATATAGGTCTTATTTTGTTTATCCACTCACCTATTGGTTGGCCTTTTGGCTACTGTCAAAAAAATACTACCATGAACATTGGTGTACAATCCCTTGTTACTTAGTTGGCACCTCTCAAAGCACTGTTACAAAGGGAAAATATTCAAAATATATTGTATTGATTGATATAAAAGTAGAAGTGGAAACTGACTCCATCCGCCTTCAAAGACATGAACCCACCAGGGGCATCTTTGCAGACCCCTGCTGGGGGAACGGAGGTATTCGAAGAATATTGGAAACATGAAACCACATAGTTGATAGGGTTCATCCTGTTCTAAAATGCCTCACTCTTACATTTATATATTGCAGTTAATTACACACCAGGCAAAATAATTAGTTAAGTGTCTGATCAAAAGTTTCAAGAAAAAGAACTGAGTGGTGTTTCCTCTCATGGTGAGTGTGTGTGATGGTGAACCATCCAGGGTTCTAATTCTGAATGTTAACATTACTAATGCAGAAAGGAGAATCGCTTTGGGTTATTATATGCAAGGTCAGTGCTTCAAACTCATTAAAAGAAAGATGAGGCTGTCCAGTCCCATGAACATTCACAGTCTCAGATACACTGAGGAGCAGTCTACTCGATAGCAGTGGGTGGGTAGCTAAACAGTTAAAAGTAGCAGAAGAGACTTCTTAATATTATTAATAAGTGCAGCATGTATCAGACAGACCTGGGCTCACATGTCAGTTCCATTCCTATTTGTATGTGACCTAAGCATGTTATTTAAGTTCTTTGAGTCAGTTTTCCTATCTACAATGCACCAAATAGAAGTTATTGTGAGGAATAGATATATGATCCATAAAATACTTAGGGCTGTACTTGACTAGAGTATGTTTCAATGCATTAACAGCCAATTCTCATAGAACATAACCGAGAGGCATTGGTATAGTCTATCAAGTCACTGTTAACACCGAAAATGGCTTCATAATGACACTGAACCATTGCTTCTAGAGGAGATAAAGATTTAAGTTCCTGTATCTTTTTACCTGTATTTTCTTTTCTTTTTTGGGGGGGTGAGGTAGGGAAGTGGGATGGGGGCGGGGAGGTCAACCAATATATAACTTTGTTTTCTGTATGTTTCTGTTTAAAGATACTTTATTTCATATCTATTGTTGATTGATCATTATTGAACTTATGGTCAATAGCATTATAATTCATGGCTCAAGGAAGCTTATAAAATATATGTATTTTCTCTATAAGGCACATTACAATTTTCTTGGGCTTAGGAACATCGAACAGCATCTTATTTCTACACATAGGGGTCAATTTAATCAGCAAAATGACCAACAAAAAGCACAAAAATGTAAAAAACCATGATATTTAACACACCTCAAAATGACACGTTTACAGAACAGTCTGAAAGCTAAGCCAAGAAAGCAAAGTATCACCTCTTGTAACCTTAGCTAGAGACCCATGTGACTCAGTCCCCCTACCCCCCTGTTCTGGGTATATCCATAAATGTGCTGTGAGTATTAATTTGGTGGTTACAAATAAATTTGAGCAAGCAGGTACATTCACAATATAGAATCTACAAATGATAAAAATCAACTATAACTCTCATCGTTTGATATTCATATGGTACGGCAACTTAATTTAACTTTTTGATGGATTTATTTTCTTTCAGATTTTTGAAGGGAATCCCTGCTTGCCAAATGAAAATTTACCAAGTGCCAAAATCTCAGTCCAGTTGTCTCCTAACCAGCATTTTGTAGGTGCTACATCAGTAGGGTACGTTAAGATTGAGCAAACACAAGCGTCATTGTTTATTCTTGCATTCTTTTATCCTTAAAGTGGTGTCATTGTTTATTCTTGCATTCTTTTATCCTTAAAGTGGCGTCATTGTTTATTCTTGCATTCTTTTATCCTTAAAGTGATTCAGGGAGAATAATCTTCTGATTCTACATTCCAATATACCACTCATCTGTCAGTTTGTCAGCCCGTGAAGTTTGTATTGCAGTGATGTTGCAAGCTGAGCCATTGGTATTGCCACTGCTGGCAAGGTCGCCGATGGTGAACAGCTTTCCATGGGGCCTCCAGACTAAGAAGGGGTTAGTGATCTACTTTTAAAAGGGATGGGCAGGGAAAACCTTAGGAACAGCAGGGAAACAGGGTGCCAGAACATAAGCCCCTCTGATTGGGAGGCACTCTAAATATTGACTGGGAAAGAGTTTAATGGAGAGTTACTTCAATGACATGGCTGGAGAGCAGATTTCAGAACCTTCATTTCTGGGTGTGGCATGGCTCCAAACAGCTGCAAACATCCATTACTAATCAGAACATGGAATGTATGAAGCATGAATCTACAAACATTGGAAGTCATCAAAAACAAAATTAAACAAGTAGAGATAAATATCCCAGGCACTAGGGAGGAGAGATGGTCTAGAATCGGCCATTTTTAATAAGACAGTCATAGTATGCCATGGAATTACTAATTTAAAGAGGAATAGTGTTACATTCATTGTTAAAGGGAACATTTCAAGATCTTCTGATACGTTTCAACCCATCTTATTGAAGTAAATCACTATCAGTAATAAATACACCTACAGAGAAGACCAATGAATAAGACTATTAGTTTACACACCAATCATTCATGCCAAAATTAAAGAAAATGAAGATATTTGTCCACTCTGCTTGAGGAATCATGCAATCACGAGATGCACTGATAATTAGCTGGTGATTGGAAGGCAAGAGTCAGAAACTAAAAAGAAGGATAAATAGTTGGAAAATATGGTCTTGGTGATAAAAATGACAATGGAGAGCACATGATAGAATTTTGGAAGACCAATAGCCATCACGACTACTTTTTTTCAATAACATAAATGGCAGCTCTACACTGGACTTTGCCAGATGGACTACAAATCAAACTGAGTACACCTTGAAAGAGAGAAGGAAGCTGCTCAATATCATCCATCAAAATAAGGCCAAGGCTTAACTAAAAGGCTGATTGATCACCAATTACTCATATACAAGTTCGAGTTGAAGCTGAAAAAAATTAATACAAGTCCATGAGAGCCAAAATACAACCTGGAATATGCCCCACCTGAATTTAGAGACCATCTACAAAACAAATTTGACCTACAGAACCCTAATGTTGAATAACAAGATGAATTATGGAATTATGGAACTACACTATAGCAAAAAAAAGTCATTTGAAAGGAAAGAAAGAAAGACAAAAATGAATGTCAGGAGAGACTGTGAAATATGCTCTTGAATGTAGACCAGCTAAAGTGAATGCAAGAGATAGATGAAGCAAAGAGAAACAGAAGGTTTCAAAGGAGGTTCAAGAAGGCAAAGTATTATACTGAAAAATACAAAGCCCTCAGGTTACAAAATCAGAAGAGCATACTTGACATTACTTAAATTGAAAGAACTAGGCAGAAATTTTAATTCTTGAGTTACAATGTTGAAGGATTCTTTTGGCAAAATGTTGAATGCACAACTTGCTGTGTTGTTATTATTGCTGTTGTTGATGGTAGGTGCCATCAAGTTGGTTCCAACACATGGTGACCCTATGCACGACAACAAAACACTGCTGGCTCCTGCACCCTTCTCACAATTGTTCCTAAGCCTGAGCTCATTGTTGCAGCCACAGTGTCAACCCATCTTGTTGAGGCCCTTCCTCTCTTTCACTGCCCTTCTGCTTCACCAAATAAGATGCCCTTCTCCGGGGATTCATCTCTCCTGACAACATCTCTAAAGTATGTCAGATCAAGTCTTGCCATCCTTGCCTCTAAGGAGCATTCTGGACCTACTTCTTCTAAGACAGATTTCTTTGTCCTTTTAGCAGTCCATGGTACTTTCAATATTCTTCACCAGCACAATTCAAACGCATCAATTCTTCTTCAGTCTTCTGTATTCAATGTCCAACTTTCACGTACATGTGAGACAATTGAAAATACCATACTGAAGGCTGTAATCCTTGATCTTCATCAATAAGTGCTTCAAGTTCTCTTCACTTTCTGCAAGCAAGGTTGTGTCCTCTGCATACCACAAGTTGTTAATAAGCCTTCCTCCAATCCTAATGTAGATTTCTTCTTCATATAATCTAGTTTCTCTGATGATTTGCTCAGTTTACAGATTGAATGAGTAAGATGAGAGGATACAACCCTGATACACACCTTTCTTTATTTTAAACTATGCAATATTTGCTTGTTCTGTCCACACAACTGCCTCTTGATCCATGTTAAAGTTCTGCATGAACTACAATGAAGAGTTCTGTAATTTCCATTCTTCTCAAGGTTGTTCAAAGCTTGTTGTCATCCACAGAGTCCAATGCCTTAGCATAGTCAATGAAACTTAAGTAAGCATCTTTCTCGTACTCTCTGCTTTCAGCTAAGATCCATCTGACATCAGCAATGATAGCCTTTGTTCCATGTCCTCTTCTGAACCCAGCTTAAACTTCTGGCAGCTCCCTGTAAATGTACTGCTGCAGTCATTGTTGGATGATTGTCAGCAATATTCTACTTGCATGTAATATCAATGATATTATTCTTTAATTTGACCATTCTGTTGGGTCACTTTTTTTGGAATGGGTATAATTATGAATCTCTTCCAGTCAGTTGACCAAGTAGCTATCTTCCAAATTTCCTGGCATCAATGACTAAGTGCTTCCAGTGTACTTAGGATGCATTAAAAGAAGATGGAAGACCAGTTAATATGAATAATATTTTGTTCTAATCACTAATGCCAAAGATAAGGAAGTTGAAGATTACCTTGTACCAAGTATATCACCATACCAAATAGAATTGGTCAATGTCCAATCATTCTAGAAGGTAGCATATGATCTTGAGTCAATGGCACTGAAGGAAGAAGTCTAAGCTGCACCATAAATTAAAACAAACAAACAAAAAACTGCCATTGAGTCCATACTGACTCCTAGTGACCTCCTGTGGGTTTCCAAGGCTGTAACTCTGCAGGAGTAGAAAGCCCAGTCTTTCTCTGTCAGTGTTGCTAGTGGCTTGGAACTGCCCACCATGTGGATCACAGCCAACTCATCACCAGGCTCCACAGCTGCACTCTTAAGTATTGGTGAAAAGCAACACTCCAGGAATTGACAGAATACCAATTGAGATATTTCAACAAACAGATGCAACATTGGAAATGCTCGCTTATATATATCAAGAGATTTGGAAGACAGCTACCTGGCTAATTGACTGGAAGAGATCCAAATTCAACCTATTACAGAGAAAGGTGATCCAACAGAATGTGAAAATTGTCAAATAATACCATTAATATAATTTCAATGTGGATTTCATTTTCCTTTTTTTTTTCCTAACCCTCACCCTAAGATTGCATTTTGCCTTTATCCACATTCAATGCCTATGGAAACAACAGTCAAAAAATCAAATGGGAGCCTACAGGGAAAGAAACTATAACAGGGGTTGGGGGGAAGGAGAATATAGAAGGATGGGTTAGATAAGCGGGAGATGATGTCAAGAAGTCCAGGAAGGAAAAGTATGTTTTGGAAAACATGTATAATTATGGAAGAAAATTGCACAACATGTTTGAAATGATTGGATTATGGAAGGATATGGCATATGTATTCGCTTCCCAGTTACAGGAAATTGAAGGAAAAAAAGGCATAGATTCAGGAACGGGTTTTGGGCTCACACCAAATCCTAGCTCCAACTTAAGAATAATCAATTGTTTACATCATGGCCCTGTTCAATATTCACCTTCATGAAATGATCACTGATGATAAGGATGCTAAAGCAAAGTGTGGTGAAGAAAGCAGATGGTGCCTGGCTATGCATCAGAATAGTGTCTGGGCTCTTAAAGGCTTGTATTCAAACAAGCAACCATCTAAGTGAGGAGTCAACTAAGTCCACATGGAAGCACACCAACCTATGTGATCCACAGATGACAATTACAAAATGGTGAGGAGAAAAGTATCAGAGCAAAAATTATAAACACCCAATATGTGGAGGTCTATGGGGGATGGTGAGAGCACAAAACCCATCTGCAGAGTATCTGGTCACACTGGGTCACTGGCAGATCCTCTCTAGCCACATGCAAGAGACACAATCAACTTCGCTATCAGGCAGAGACCATTGCAGTCTTGATTATGCTGATCACTCAACATTTGGCCATATTACTACCCTATAAGACGTGACCTGAATCTGTTCTGGGTGCTAGTATCTTTTACTGGTTCCATGACAGAAATTTCTTCCCTGGATTTTTGATTATTGTTGAGGGTCTTTCCCTTCTTACGCCGTATTAATATTTTTGTCTGTAAACTATTATGTATTACCACTTTAGCACGACTTTGTTTTCTGTTGGGTCTCCCAGCTGTGAAGCACAGGAGGAGTGGAGGCATAATGACAATAATGGATATAAAATATAGGGAATATAGGGAATACAGGGGTGGGGGGTGGAGAGATAGGGAGGGAAAGGAGATGTCAGAAGTAACCAATGAAGATGGGAGGTGGAAGGGAGTACTACAATGGATTGTGATTACATGAATCATCTTAAAGGTGATTTTGTGGGGGGGGGTGTTCTAAAATTGATGTGGGGGTGATTGTACAATTCTTTGTGATATGATTGAACTATTAAATTATATGACATGTAAATTACTTGCAAATAAAACTGCTGGGGGCAAGGGGAAAATCAAATGGCTCACTGGGAAAATTTGCTGCAAAGACTTCTTTAAAGTGTGAAAGAGCAAAGGCGCACTAAGGTGCGTCTGGCCAACACCATCGTGTTTTCAATTGCCTCATATACATATGAAAGTTGGGCATTGAATAAGGAAAACTGTAGACAATCGATGCATTTGAATTATTGTCCTTATGCACGTGAAACCTGAACAACAAATAAAGACTGTCACAGATTAACTGATGTCTTTGAGCTATGGTGATGGTGAGTAACATTGAACATACCATGAACTTGTAGAATAATGAACACATCTGTCTTGAAGGAAGTACAGCCAGAATGCTCGCTTGAATGGAGGAGGGGAAAAACATTTTCAATATTCATTTGGACATATCATCAGGGGGATAAGTCCCTGTAGAAGGATATAATCTTCTTCATGAATAGAAGTTATGGGAAAATAGAGGGTCAGCAAATAAAAAAGGAAGACACTCAAGGAGATGAATGGACACAGTAGTGGCAACAATTGGCTCACACTGGGTTCAAGGATGATTGGGATTGTACATTATTGGGCAGTTGCATGAGTTGGCAGGGTGAGTAGGAACTGACCCCAGGATATCTAACAACATCATACTGGAAAAGCAATACAGTACGTGCTAGACAGTGTCCATGGCTGGTCACATAGGCAGGCCAGTGACTGGAACAAGATCTGGTCTCCACCAGTGTTGTAATAGTTGTTAAATATTTAGAATATCACCCTGGAAGCACATGAATCAATTTTCCTTTCATTTTGCATTAATAGCAAAGAAAGAAAAGTTAGCAGGAAACATTCTTTATATTTTATATAAATCTAATGTAATTCATCTGTTAATCCCCATAATCATTTCAAATGGCTTTATCCATATTCTTTTATGTAACAAATGCTTATTTCTTTTCCCCAGATGTCAAGCAAATGAAGATAAGTGGTCTTTTAAAAGCTGCAATTCTGATTTCATTTTTGGAGAAAATATGGTAGAAAGAGTTTCGGTAAGATTTGAGTCACCAATTCTATGATACAGAGGGTTGCCATTCAAATTTCTGAAACAAATTAATTAAAACAGTATTAAATTGAAGTATTTTAACTTCTGGGTTCAAAGATATATTTTATTTTTTAATCAGTAATATTCTCTTGGGAAGCATGTTCTGTTAGGGTAATAGACACAATTGCACAGAAGAGAGAAACTATAATTATAACATCACTACGGATATGAAATGCTAAATGAAAGTGTCACTTACATTAATTAAAAAATACCCAGGGAAATCTGAGAATTATCTGCAATAGTTAAATTCAACTGCTAATGATGTTTTCATATAGATTTTCTAGTAACAAATACTTTTAAATCAATTTATTCTCATTAATTGACCACCTCTTCAAAAAGAGCCCTGGTGGCACTGTCAGAAAAATTTTAGACTGCTGACCTCGAGGTCAGTGGTTCAAATCCAACAGTCACTCCTCAGGAAAAAGATGAGGCTGTCTGATCCTGTATAGTTTTATCCCCTCACTGCCATGAGTCAGAATTCATTCCTTGGCAGTGGTGCGTTTTCTTCCCTTTGAGATCTCATATGTCAAAAAGCTAATTCTAGGAAAGAAATAATAGTTCTTTACTTGCCTAGAAGAATATACTTGCTGAGTAGAAATCCCTAACTATAGTTATATATTATCCTTATTAAAATAAAGGAGTCCTAATGGCCCACTGGGTTGTGTTGGACTGCTACCCAAAGGGGTTGGCAGTTCAAAGCCACAGCCATTCCACAAGAGGAAGATGGGGCTGTGTGCTCCTGTAAAGATTTACACTCTCAGCAACCTCCTGAGCAGTTCTGCTCTGTCCTACAGTCTTTATGAGTCAATATCTACTCAACAACAGTTGACTTCGTGTTTTTATTTTCTTAGTACAGACTGAGACTCTCCTTCACGAGGCAGTCACTATTTTGCCCTCCACAGAGCTCTGACTACTGAAGGAGAGCAGTCTACAAAGGGGACAGAAAAGTGAGTGCCGCAGAGCCTGTGACTCTGAGATACACACTCAACCTTTCCCCTCACCTTGGGATCAAGATCTTGACTGAGATAGACCCAAAGTGACTAAAGCCTTCAGTTACAGGAATAAGCCTAACGAGCCTACCAAGATAACCTTTGTAAGGGCTCGGATTAGCCAATGAAACAACTCATGAAGCCAGTGTACTGCAGGATGTTTAGGGCTTTTGCAGTCAGAACTTTTTAAGACCTAGTTTAGTCTAAACTGGATCCCAATTCCAAGATGAGAAAAGTGGCATGGAGGTCTGTATTAGTCTGGGTACTTTGGAGAAACAAATCCACAGCGACTCATGTATAAGAGAGAGTTTTATGTAAAGAAAAGGTGCATCACGAAAACATCCCAACCCAATGCTGCCCAAGCCCACAAGTCCAACATTAACCCATACCCAACACCAGTCCACAAAGTCCTTCACCTCACAAAACAGAGGCAATAATGCCAACTGCAGGAGGAAAGCTGAGTCAGTGAACGAAGAAGCATCTCAGCATTAGCAGGAGTCTCCCATGGCTGCTCCAGCACCCAGGGCTGCATCGGGATAGGTCCATTTAGCTTCTCCTTGGGGAGGTCTTGTAGGAAGTCAATCTTGCAAGCTGAAGCAGGGAACTGCTAAAGCAGCTGCACCCGGTGCAACCATCACAAAACAAGAGACCCGAGAACTAGAAAGGCGAGGCTTCACCACCCATTTATCCCTCCGCCTTTCAACCAGCCCCACATGTGATTATCGGCCAGGCTGGCACAATTAACTAACTCAAGGTCGCCTCTGACTTCCTTTAACTACACAAGAGAGAAAGAGAATCCATCGTCCCACCAGCCCCAGGCTCATTGCCACAAGCAGAAGTCAGCTATGCTTCCATCTGCCATCTTTCTTTACCCTCTTTCCACACCAACTATTCCTCCCACAATACTTTTCTGTTATGTTCAATAATCCATTGCCCTGGCCCCAAGGTAGCAGGCTACCATAAATCAAGATCAAAAAACATTAAGGATGCCGTCATTGGTTCACAGCAACACCTCTCCTTGGCCAGCAGTCAAGTTTCCCTCTCTGGTCCTTAACTTCCCAGCCAACAGCGCACCTCAGAGGCATGGATAAAGAGCCGTGTTAAGCACTCTCCCTTTACCATACAAGAGTACTATTAGCTTTTTTTAAACTTTTGGTCACTCACAGGATTAGGTCAACTCCAGCCATTCTAGCTATGTTGACACATACCTTTCGATCTGAATCAGATTAGAGCATCTCCAAATTAGAGTTCCAGGCATAACTATTTCATATTGTTTCTTTGTTTGGCACTGGATTTAACTAAGGCTTCTGTAAAATGTCTAGCCCAAATAAGATCCTTTCTAGACCTCATGCTGTTGTTGTTGGTAAGTGCTGTCAAGTCAGATCCAACTCATAGTGAAAATACGGTAGCCCACTACTGTGCCATCCTCACAATTGTTCTTGTGTTTGCGTCCGGTGTTGCAGCCAGTGTCAATCCATCTTGTTGAGGGCCTTCCTCTTTCTTCACAGAGCTCATAAATTTAACTAAAAACAACTCAATTTACCCAATATATATTGTTATTATAGTGTAAAAATCATTGGCTTGAAGTTTGGATGAGCCTTTAAAGAATTTCTTACGCATGGGTTTTACCACAGAGACATTAGATTAGAATCTATCTAATCTACGCCGGGTTGTCATCAAGTGATTCTAATATGTCGGCTTGACAATCATCAGAGTAGGTAGTTACAAAATGCTAAAGCAAACACTGTGTCCTGGAGGTGCTTAGAACCTAATAAAGGAAGACAGAGAAATGCCTTCACCAATGAATTATACTTGGGACTGCCTACGTGGTTAGGAAGCCCTGGTGACAAAGTGGGTGCACACTTGGATGTTAACCTAAAGATCAGAGGTTTGAACCCACCAAATGCTATGTGGGAGAACTATGGGGTAGTCTGCTTCCATAAAGAATATCATCTTGGAAATTCTATGGGGCAATTCTACTCCATCTTATAGGATCAATATGAGTTGGAATTACAGTATATACTTGAGTATAAGCCGGCCTGAAGTTTTCGAAATAAAAATTTTCGGGTCAACTTATACTCGAGTATGTACAGTCACTCCAAGGCAATGGGTTATGTATATTTTTTGGACAGGACATTTGTACACATTTTAATTTGGCTTATGAAAGACTGTGCTTCCTATCCCTTTAAGTTGGTAACATTCTAAGGACAATAGGGTTCTTCAGAGGAACAGGATCAGTAAGATAAGTAGAGACTGCTTTATTAAAGGGATCGGTTCACTTAATGAGGGGACCTGCCAAGTTCAAAATCTTTACGACAGGTGACAACTAGAAATTCCATCAGTCTTGTGCCCCAAAGGACCCCTGCTGGCATAGTAGGTCATGCATTGAGCTACTAACCACAGGTCAACAGTTCAAAATCACTATCCCCCTCTGAGGGAGAAAGTTGAGGCTTTCTGTGCTTATGAAGATTTGCAACTTCGGAAACCCAACGGAGCAGTTCTACTCTGTCCTGAAGGGTCATTATGGGTTGAACTCAACTCAGTAGTAGTGAATGCTTTGGTTTTGCACCCCAAGATCAGTAGATTGGATGACGGGGGCAGGAATTCTTGCAGGATGTCTATTGTTTTGAGGCAAAATATTTCTCCTTCTGAAAACACCAAGGTGTTGTTGTTTAAGACCTGAAATTGGGGGATGTGGTCTACCCACATGCTGGTGGGTAATCTGCTTTACTTAAAAATTAACTGATTTAAGTACTAATCATAAGAAAATATCTTCAAAGCACAACAACTAGATTAGTATTTGTCCAAACAATGGAAACCCTAACCACGCCAAACTGACCTCAAATTAGCCATTACATAGGTCATGGAAGAGCTATGGAGATAATTTATTTCTTCCAGTCCTGAACACTTGTGACCTGTCTCTTTTGGGTTACCAACCATGGGCTAGTAGAGGGAGTGATAGGGCTTTCCGTGTCTTCGTTTTCATTGCCTTTCTCATAATTATACTGATCTCTGCCCGTTTCAACGGGATATGTTGGTGTCCCGTTAGACGATGTGAAAGGCTTTTGAGCTCATAAAGGAAAAGATATAAACATAAGTAAATGCATAAGTATTATTGTTCACAATTCACCTTGTTCTGTGGGGGGTATACATTATCTTAAAAAGCAAGGCAATTATTCATTCTTTTTTATATAGATTTGTATTGCAACACAGGTACAGATTTCCAAATACACAGTCTTAAAAGCAATTGTTGGCAAAATTGTACTGAAGGAAAAGTTATGGGTATATCTATAAAGGTGTTTTCTGAAACAGATACTGGGTTCTCTTTATAAGTTTTCATTTTATTCATTGAAGTGGACAGCAAAGGTGAGTTGTTGGTAATACAGTTACTCCTCCCTGTCCGCATCAGGTTAGTCTAGTGAAAGCAAGGAAGAGAGGCTCCCTTCTTTCAGGCCACTAGCATTCCTCCCTTTGTTCCTGAGATTAGCTCCCACCTAAGTAGGCTGGTGGGAACTAGATTATGTTTCCTAAGGATTCAACCAAAAGGTTCTATAGTAATGAGAAAGACTTCCTTGTTCAACAAAAGCATAGCTGCTGGGTTTGTTTGTAATGCGGAAATAGAAGAACCAACGTGTCCTTTGGCTTACTGCACATATATAAGGGTGAATTAAACACTTAACCTTTTCCTCCCACCTTAGGGTACTCAAAAACTCAAACAACCGCAACTTGAAAATGATTTATATACTAAGGAAAAGGCATCTGAATCCACTCTGAAATTTACTATCAACTCTCCAAATTCAAGTAAGAGCTACTCATTTGTAAAAACATTCTATTCAACTAGTTTCTTCCTGATTTTTCATGTCCTTTTTTTTTTAATTTATAAAGTTCAAGAAGGGATAATCCAATGTTTAAATTTTGGGGGGGTGTTAAGGTTAAATAGTATACAAAATGGTTAAATGATATGTTTTAATGTTTTGTAAACTTTATGATGAAGTGAATCAATATGGAGAGTTAACCTAAACTAAAAAGAAGAATCAGTTGATGGAAAATGTGGCCCTAGTGGAGATTAAATGATAGAATTTTGCAAAACTAATAACTTCTCCATTGCAAAAAATTTTTCAAAAACATAAATGGTGATTACAATGGGGACTTGGCCAGACAAAACACACAAGAATCAAACTGACTACACCCGTGGGGAGAAACAGTGAAGATGCCCAAAATCATCAGCCAAAACCAGAGCAGTGGCCAGCCATGGAACTGACCACTACTTGCTCACATGCAAGTTCATCCTGAAAGTGGACAAAATCGAATACAAGTCCACAAGAACCAAAATAAGAATTTGAGTACATCCTCTCTGAATTTAGAGACCATCGCAAGAATAAATTGGATGCATTGAACACTGATGACTGAAGATCAGATGAGTCATGTGATGACATAAATATCATACAAAGAGAATTAATCCCTGATCTGTATCAGCAAATGCTTCAAGCCCTCCTCACTTTTAGCAAGCACGGTTGTATCATCGGCATATCACAGATTGTTAATAAGCCTTCCTCCAATCCTGATGCTGCTTTCTTTTGCATAAAATCCAGCTTCTCTGATGATTTGCTCAACTTGCAGACTGCATGAGTATGTTGCGAGGAGCCAACCCTGACACACACCTTTCTTGATGTTTAACTATGCAGTGTTCCCTTGTACTGTTCACACAACTGCCTCTTGTTCCATGTATAAGTTCCACAAGAGCAAATCAAGTGTTCTGGAATTTCCATTCTTCTCAAGACTATAGTTTGTTATGATCGGCAGAGTCAAATGCCCTGTGTGCCCTCTGACCTGAACGGTCCATCCTCCAGCACTATCTCCAACAGTGTTCTGCTTCCATCCACTGGGCCTTCAGTATCTGACAAGGTTTTGAAGCCTTATGTAAGTTTTTGAGTGACTCCTTCCTCCAAAGTGGGCAGTCAAGTCCTTCTTCATAATCTGTTCTTAATCTGGAAGGTGCACTGAAACCTGTTCACTTTGAATGACCTGGCTGGCATTTTAAAAAATTATTTTATTGGGGGCTCATACAGCTCTTATCACAATCCATACATACATCCATTGTGTCAAGCAGATTTGTACATAAGTTGCCATCATCATTTTCAAAACATTTTCTTTCTACTTGAGCCCATGATATCAGCTCATTTTCTCCCTCCTCCACCCTCCCCCTTCCTCATGAACACTTGAAAAAAAAATTTTTTTTAATTCGTTTCTGGGAGATGGCACCGAAGGCGAAGAAGGAAGCTCCTGCCCCTCCCAAAAGGAAGCCAAAGCAAAGGCTTTAAAAGTCAAGAAGGCCGTGCTGAAAGGCGTCCACAGCCACACAAAAAAGAAGATCCGCACGTCACCCACCTTCCGGTGGCCCAAGACCCTTAGGAATAAGAAGGCAGCCCAAATACCCTCAGAAGAGCGCCCCCAGGAGAAATAAGCTGGACCAGGATGGCATCATCAAGTTCCCCTTGACCAGAGTCTGCCATGAAGAAGATCCAAGATAACAACACACTTGTGTTCATTGTGTTCATGTCAAAGCCAACAAACACCAGATCAAGCAGGCTGTGAAAAAGCTCTATGACATTGACGTGGCCAAGGGCAACACCTTGATCAGGCCTGATGGTGAGAAGAAGGCATATGTTCGACTGGCTCCTGACTATGACGCTTTAGATGTTGCCAACAAAATTGGAATCATCTGAAGTGAGCCCAGCTGGCTAATGCTAAATATAAACTTTTTCAAGATATAAAAAAAAATTCATTTCTTACACAGACCACTGCCTCCCTTCACTCACTTTTCTGTTGTCCATCCCCCTGGATAGGGGTTATATGTAGATCATTCTGATCAGTTCTCCGTTCTCCCCCCAGTTTCCCCTTACCCTCCTGGTATTGCTATTTCCATTATTGTTCCTGAAGTGTTTATCTCTCCTGAATTCCCTGTGTCGAGAGCTCTTACCTGTATCATTGTACATCCTCTCGTCTAGCCAGATTAGTAAGGTAGAATTGAGGTCATGATAGTGGAGAGGAGGAAGCATTATAGAGGAAAGTTGTATGTTTCATCAGTGCTATTTGCACCCTGACTGACTCATCTCTTCCATGTGATCCTTCTGTAAGGGGATGTCCAATTGTCTACAGATGGGCTTTGGGTCTCCACTCTGTACTCCCCCTCATTCACATTGATATGATTTTTTGTTCTGTGTCTTT